TCAGGCAATCCACTCACCTCAGCCTCCCAAAGTGCTGGGATTACAGGCTGAGCCACCAAGGCCGGCTTGTTTCCTGTTTTAGTACCTCATTTGATCCTAGTTATATCACCCCTTTTGTAGGTAAGGATATTAAAAGTTGGACAAATTAAATACCCTGCCCTGGGTCCTACCTATGCTCCTTAGAGGGCCTCACTTATACTTGAGATGTATAATTTGTATCCTCAAGCACTTATCTTTTACTTCATAGGAACTCAGGTTGTTGAATGAATGACTGAATAAATAAAAAAATCATAATCTCGGTGAAAGCCCAATCTTATCATTCAGTAGCTGTAAAGTATAACTTTTGAGCTTTCTCTTGAACATTTTATAGTGAAGTTGGCAGGAATGGAGCTCACTGTAACCTTGACCTCCTGGGCCTCCTGAGTAACTGGTGGCTTGTGCCACCATATCCAGCTAATTTTTTATTTTTTGTCTTAGACTCCTGGCCTTAAGGAGTCTTCTCCCACTTTGGGCTCCCAAAAGTGCTGGGATTACATGTGTGGGGGTATCTCACACCTAACACCTCACATCAGCCTGAGAATGAAGTTTTGATTTGATGTTAATCAACAGTGTAGTGTGCATGTGTGTGAAATTGCCAGATATTTAGAGTAAGTTATAAACCTGTCTGGGTAACAGAAATAGCTTGAGCATCATTAAACTGCCAACTAATGAAGTCATTCTTGAGTGTGAATTTGTTATTAAACAGAGTTCAGATCAATATGAATCAGTAGTTTAACATTAGATTTTATTTTATTATTATTTTTTGAGTCGAAGTCTCACTTTGTCACCCTGGTTGTAGTGCAGTGGCACGCTCATGGCCACCGCAGTCTCAGACCTGCTGGGCTCAGGCCATCCTTCTGCCTCAGTCTTCCAAGTTGCTGGAACTACAGATGTGCGCCATCATGTCTGGCTATTTATTTATTGATTGATTGATTGTAGAGACGAGGTCTCACCAAGTTGCCCAGGCAACCCTTTGGACTAGGATTATAGGCGTGAGCCACTTTGCCTGCCCTAACATTAGATTTTAATCCTCACAAAGGCAATGTATACTAAATACATTCAACTTAATTATCTCCAGTAATGAAGGAGTATAGTAGCTACATATTTTTAATCATTCAAAACTGTTTTGTTATGTAAATTCGAGAGCATTTGATATATAGTTATGAAAGTGACTTCAGAAACTAGAACGTTATGGCTTCCCAGGTTGCCCAGAATTCTTACTAGTTTATAATCCATCTTGGAGATCTCATCTCAAAAGAAACCAAAGAACTAGTTTAAGGCAAGTTGCTATAAACTTAGAGATAAGAATTTTGATGGGAAAGGTATGCTAGGTCAGGGAGCATAGTAGAAACTAGAGTTAAATTGAAGCTGAAACCTTTAGGTCACTTGAGATAAAATGCTGAGAAACAAGTTCTTTCCACAAAGTGTCCACATATGACTTCATACCTACTCTGCCTAGTTTTTTTGGTTTTTGTTTTTGTAAAAGTTGGATAAGAAGGTTTTTTTTCTAAATTCATATGTGTTGTAAAACCAATTTCAAACAGTATTCTGTCCTGAGTAGATCTCATAAAGGTATTCAATGAATGAGGCCTGGTAGTATAATAACTACTTTATATGATTTGTGACCATCCAATGGGGTACATCCCCACTTTATAGATGCAGGAATGGAGGGACAGAGAGTTGTGTAATTTGCTATAGTTATCAAGTAATGGAGACAAAGTGTGAACTCATTTTGAGATCAGAAACTTACTCACTGTAGTGTGAGCCTCGGATGCTTAAACGTGCTTAACCCCAGGCTTGACTGCAGACGGTGGGTTTGGGCAGAAATCAATCTTGGTTTATTTATGCAAGGCCTGCCTGATTCACTTAGTATCTCAGAAGCTCAGGTTCTTAATCTGAAAATGAATGATACCTCCTTTTACAGATTAAGAGTTCTTTTTTTTTTTTTTTTTTTGAGTTGGAGTCTCACTCTGTCACCCAGACTGAGTGCGATGGCTGCTTTCCACCACCGCAGCCTCTACCTGCTGGGCTCTGGCGATCCTTCTGCCTCAGCCTTCCAAGTAGCTGGAACTACAGGCGCGCGCTATCATGCCCGGCTAATTTTTGATATATTGTAGAGATGAGGTCTCGCCAAGTTGCCCAGGCGGGTCTTGAACCCGCGGGCGCAGGCAATCCACTCACCTCGGCCTCCCAAAGTGCTGGGATTACAGGCTGAGCCACCGAGCCCGGCCTAGATTAAGATTTCAATGAGATACTGCCTTAAATCATCTTGCACGATGTTTGACATGCTGTAGGTGTGCAAGTTTCTTTTATTATTTTTATTTCTTTGTGAAGTTCAGTTATTAGAAAACATTTTATGAGAGACTGTTTCCACCTGCATTTGTCTTTTACATATTATTGTATATCTTATATATTTTTGTTTGTTTGTTTGAGTTGGAGTCTTACGCTCATCTAGGCTGGAGTGCAGTGGCTCAGTCACAGCTCACCACAACTTCCATCCCCTGGGCTCAGGTAATCCTGCCTCAGCCTTCCAAATAGCTGACACTATAGGCTCATACCACCTTGCCTGGCTAAGTTTTTTATTTTTATTTTTTATAGAAATGTAGTCTCGCTATGTTGCCTAGGCTAGTCTTGAACTCTTGGCTCAGGTGATCTTCCTGCATCAGCCTCCCAAATAGCTGAGACTATAGGCATGTGCCACCATGTCTATTTTTTTATTTTTATTTTTTGTAGAGATGAGTTCTCACTATGTTGCCTAGGCTCATCGTGAACTCCAGGACTTAGGCAATCCTCCCATCTCAGCCTCCCCAAGTGCTGGGATGACAGGCATGAGCCACTGTACCCTTCCTGTCTTTTACATGTTATACAGAGACTTATGAGGAGATCATTCTCCATTTTGGAGGCTTTGCGTATTATGGAGTTTATTTATCCTTCTATAAATCCAACATAGAATAAATCCCTAATACATGATAGGCAGTGGTAAAATCATGATGAATAAAAGAAGGAAGTGTATTTCATTTGTCAACAAATTTGTCTGATAAACTTTATGAGTGCTGTTACAGGAGACACAAGCAGGATGGCCTGGGAGCTCAGCAGAGGGAAGAATTAATTCCATCTCTTGGGAAACAGGAGATTTCACTGAGACTTGTGTTTTGAGTCTTGTAAGATATGGAGAAGTTGTACAGATAGAGAAGGGGGAGAGGCTTCTACAGAGAGGAGTGTTTATACAGAAAATGCTTTAAAGAACAGTTGGAGATGGGGGTTAGTATGTGGCAGGAAATTTAGGCTGGGACCAGATGAGAAGAGCTGCTTTATGTGAAGGTGTTTGGACTCTCTCTTCTGGTAAGAAGTCAGTTAAGCGAAGGAAGGGCTGCGATCAGATCTACCTTTCGTTAAGACGCCTCCTGCATGAAGAACAGATGAGCATGGAGCAGTCTGAACCTGTCCCCACCCGTGAGCAGGCAGTGACGTGGGAGCTGGACAGTCAGCATTAGCAGCATAACTAACACAGATTCATATTTCGGGGAGTGTAAGTGAATACTACACACAACCTTCTAAGGCTGTAGGTTCCCGGGCGTGGCTGCAGTCTACTGTTGAGAAAGGGTGGGGTTAGAGCCAGGGCAACACAGCATTTGAATTCCGATATTGGAATCTTGTTCTGAGGGAGGGTGGCACTCCTCTATTCTTTTTTTTGTTTTTTTGGTTTTTTTTTTGAGTTGGAGTCTCACTTGGTCACCCAGACTGGAGTGCAATGGCTGCTCCTGGCCACCGCAGCCTCGACCTGCTGGGCTCCGGCGATCCTTCCGCCTCAGCCTTCCAAGTAGCTGGAACTATGGATAAGTCTATGGATAAGCCTGAAAGGTGAAGGGCCTTGAAATTTTCTTCTTCCTAGCATTCATGAATGATAAAAATTTAAGAAAAACGTGAGAATAACTTAACTGAAACTTAACAGAACATATAGAATGAACAGGTTTTCACAGATTTATAATTGACAGACTGTCAAAAATTGTAAAACTTTTTAACATCCTACTGTCAACTGTGCTTGAATAAAGAATAAAGGTGTGGCCGGGCTCGGTGGCTTACCCTGTAATCCCAGCACTTTGGGAGGCCAAGGTGAGTGGATTGCCTGAGCCCACGGGTTCGAGACTGGCCTGGGCAACTTGATGAGACCTCATTTCTACAACAAATCAAAAATTAGCCAGGCGTGGTAGCGCGCGCCTGTAGTTCTGGCTACTTGGAAGGCTGAGTCAGAAGGATCACCTGAGCCCAGCAGGTCATTGCTGGGGTGACTGTGAGCTTTCCACTGCATTCCAGCCTGGGCAACAAAGTGAGACTCTGACTCAAAAAAAAAAATGTAGTTTTGTGGACAAAGTGGATGGACTTTGGCTTTTCCTTGGGAGAATATTACTAATTTCTCATTCATTGGTATCTTTGTTTTGTTGCCAAGTCCAGCGTATATTATTAAAATATATTTATTGAACACACACTGTATACTAAAGGAATTATCCCATGCTCTCTTTAGTGTAACTCAGTTTTCCTAATCATTGATTAATTTTTTAGAATATGGGAACTTAGTTTTAACCTGTCTTCCTCTGAGACGTGTTGAACACCTTCTGCCTGAGTAGACATAAAATAGAGTGTTTACTTGAGCAACATGCTTCCTAAATGGGAACAATACAGAGAAAACAAGCACAGCCCTAGCTCAAGGGCAGTACATAGATTCATGGCATTCCATTAGGAAAAAAATGGACATAAGATACAGGACCGGGGCAACCCCTTTGGGTCCCCTTCCGCTGTTGGAACTTTTCTGTCCTCTCAACAAATCCTGCTTTCTCAAAAAAAAAAAAGATACAGGACCACTGAATTTTTTTCTTTTTTTTTTTTTTTTTTTTAGTTGGGAGTCTCACTCTGTCGCCCAGACTGGAGTGCAGTGGCTGCTCCCAGCCACCGCAGCCTCGACCTGCTCGGCTCCAGAGATCCTTCCGCCTCAGCCTTTCCAAGTAGCTGGAACTATAGGCGCACACTACCACGCCCAGCTGATTTTTGATTTTTATTGTAGAGATGAGGTCTCGCCAAGTTACTTAGGCGGGTCTTGAACCCGCGGGATCAGGCAGTTCACTCACCTCAGCCTCCCAAGGTGCGGGATTACAGGCTGAGCCTCTGAGCCCGGCGAATTTTTTTTTAAACACAGTCGTAAATCTTTAAATTAATTTCTGTGGCTGCTGTATTACCACAGATTTGGTGGCTTAAATCAACAGCAATTTTTCTGTCACAGTTCAGGAGGCCAGAAATCCAGAATCAGTATCCCTGGGCTGGAACTGAGTTGTCAGCAGGGCCTCCCTCCCTGGGGGCTCTGGAGAACACCATTCCTCCCCTTTTCCTGCATCTGGAGGCTACCACTATTCCTTTGCTGTGTTCATGTCTCTCTAATATCCAGGACCAGTGTCTTCGAGCCTCTCTCTCTGCTCTGTCTTCGTATTGCCTTCTCTTGTGTGTCTGAATTCTCCTTTTATTACATAGGTGACAAAAAATGTATATATATGCAAGATGTACAATGTGATGATTTGTTCAGCATGCACACACATTGTGAAATGACTGCCTTAATCAAATGACTTAACACCTCTATCACTGTAGTTACCGTGTGTGTGGGTGGTGGGGGGTAAAGACACGTGAGACCTTTCTTAAACACATTTCAAGTACACAGTGCCGTATTTCTCACTGTAGTTTCTGTTTCGGTCTATTTTGTGTTGCCATGAAGGAATTGGTAATCCATGAAGAAAAGAGGTTTATTTGGCTCATGGTTCTGCAGGCTGTGAAGCATGCACTGCATCTGTACTGGCAAGGGTTCCAGCTGCTTCCACTGTGCTCAGGGCAGAGCAGAGCTGCTGAGTATGCAGAGATCGCACAGCAAGCCGGGAAGCATGAGCATTGGAGGGGAGGTGCCTAGCTCTTTTGCAGCCAGTTCTCATGGGAACTCACAGAGCTAGAGGACTCATCAGCACAAGGAGGGCACTGAGTGAGGGATCCGCCCCTGGCCCCACACCACCTGTTATGCTTCCATCAGACAAAGGGTTTCACATTTCAGCCCCAGATTTGGAAGTCACCATGCTACCTATGTTATATCTCCTATAGCAACACCTGTAATGGCATTTAGGGTCCACTAATAAAGCAGAATCTCCCCATCTGAAGATCCTTAACTTAATTTCATCTGCAAATTGTTGTCCCCCTCCCCTTTTATTTCTAAAGAGACAGAGTCTCACTCTGTGGCCCAGGCTGGAGTACAGTGGTGCGAACATAGCTTACAACATCCTCCGAGTCCTAGGCTCAAGTGATCTTCCCACCTCAACCTCCCAAGTAGCTGGGACTACAGGTGCATGCCATGATGCCTGGCAGCAAATCCCCCCCACACTTTTAAAAAAATTAGAGACAGGGTCTCACTACGTTGCCAGGCTGGTCTCGAATTCCAGGGCTTAAACAAGCCTCGTGCCTTGGCCTCCCAAAATGCTGGGATTACAGGCATGAGCCACCATGCCTGGCCAAAATCCCCCTTTTAAAGTAAGGCAGTGTTTCTATGCTCCAGGTGTAGAACCTGATATCTTTGGAGGCCACTATTCAGCCTAGCGAAATCCTCAAGCATATTTTGATGTGCCAAGATTTGAAGATTGTACAACTATGTAAAATATAGGATCCTGAGAGCCTGTCAAATTACAATCTCAATTTGCTTCTCATTTTGGCCTACCATGGCTCAGACCTTGGATTTGGTTTTCAGAAACATCATCTCTGCCGCTCCATGAGTGTAGGCTTTCAGGGCAGTCATAGATGCTTCTGGTCCCTGCCTGGACTTGGGCTATGGGTTCAGGACATCAGGTTTACTCTTCTTTCTCCAAGTGTTCTAGCTGACTTAAAACCACCAGTGATGTCTGTGGCAGCAACTGCTTGGTAACCCAAAGCCTTATCCTGATTATGTCTACAGGTGAAAATGTAGATGTAGATAACTTTTATTTCTGCATGATGATCTGGTTTCCTTTACCACTGGCCTAGGGAGGTTAATGGCTTTATGTCTAGACAGGCTGAGCGTGGTGGCTCAAGCCTGTAATCCCAGTACTTTAGGAGGCAGAGGCAAGAGGATTGCCTGAGCCTGTGGATTTGAGACCAGCCTGGGCAACATGGCAAGACCTCGTCTCTATAATAAATTAAAAACTTAGCCGGGCATGGTGGCACATGTCTGTGGTTCCAGCTACTTGGAAGGCTGAGGCTGAAGGATCACCTGAGCCCAGCAGGTCGAGGCTGCAGTGGCCGTAAGCATGTCACTGTCCTCCAACCTGGGCGACAGATTGAGACTCCAACTCAAAAAAAAAAAGTCTAGAGACAGATTAGAAAACAGATTCCAGCCAGGCATGGTGGCTAAGCCTGTAATCCCAGTACTTTGGGAGGCTGAGGCAAGAGGATTACCTAGTCCAGGGGTTCAAGACCATCCTGGGCAACTTGGTGAGACCATGTCTCTACAATAAATCACAAAAACTAGCTGGGCATGGTGGCATGTGTCTGTAGTTACAGCTACGAAGGCTGAGGCGGAAGAATTGCATGAGCCTAGCAGGTCGAGGCTGCAGTGGCCGTGAGCATGCCGCTGCAGTCTAGCCTGGGTGACAAGAGTGAGATTCCAACTCAAAAAAAACAAAACAAAAGAGAGAGAAAGAAAATGGATTCCAGATTCCTGTCCTATGGTTTTGTTAACCCTGGAAACATCTTTGGTACCTGTAGCTGTATCAGTTAGGTTTCCATCAGGGAAACACAATTCTGCACTGTTATAGAACAAGGGATCAATAGCAGTAATACAACCTTCCACAGTATGCTAGCAGCAGGGACGTCAAGGTCAAAGAAGGTGTTGGAGGATTCCTGGAAAGTTCCTGGGTAGCTCTCATGATAGCCTGCTGTAGGTAGACAGGTTGCAGCTCTCAGAAGTTCCAGCAAGCCTGCCCTGTCCTGTTGCCAGAGCAGGACCACAGATGGAGCTGGCACCATGCAATCTGGTTTTCTGCATTCACAGTGCAGTATCTGGTGGGACCTGGGCCACTGTTGTTCAGCAGGGAAGGGTGAGGAGAAGCTGGAACCTGCCAGCCTCTGTGTTGCACCCTTGCTGCATTTGACTCTGACCGTCTTCAGAGAGTAGTAGCTGATGTTCCCCTTCTGCCTTCTAAATCTCCTGTAGGTACTGTTTAGCCAGTTTCACCAGCACTCCGTGGAGAAGGGGTTTGTGGAAGACGCTGAGCTTACCTACCAGCATAGTCTATACATGGGACCCTAATATCCCTGTGCCTCACCCTTTGTTCTCCTGTCATAGCAGTGTCCTTGCTTACACAGCTCTTGCTCTTGAGTTACTTGAATATTATGTGCCTCCTACACTAGAGAGCAAGCTCCATGAAGAAACAGATTGTCTGCCCGTCCCTGTGTGCCCAGTGCTCGCCCAGGGCCTGACCGTGGGTATCTGGTGCGCCCGAGTGCTGACTGCCATCCCAAGAGTTATGCAATCTCTCACTTGCTGCTTCAGTCTTCTTAGTTTTGAACCTTCCCTAGTGATGAGTGAGTACTCTGGACCTGCCAGGTGTGTACACTAGTCTCTTCTTTGTAGAATATCTCAAACCCTGTCCTTCAGTTGCCAAGTGGTGGGAAATGACCCCAGCAGAGGCATAGAGCAGTTGTATGGAGGTGGAGAACTGGGAGGTACAAGGGCTTGTCCATCTTCCCTCAGCCCCACACATGGGACAGGATCTTAGAGTTGCACTTGGTAAGGTTTCTGTTTCCAAATCACCTTCCATAAAGAGCACTGTGATACTGAACAACTTTTATCTAAAAATTAGATTGCAAATAGGTTTTGCATTTATATCATTGAAGAAATATCTGAATACCATTTAACTTGAATGTGGAAATGGAAATTCTGAGGGAACAGGTTAAAAATTAACAGTACTGTAATTTACAGGTGACACGCCTTATGTAAACAGACACCTGACACCTTGAGGAAGAAGGGAGAGGAAAAATAATGAGAAGTTGTCTCACTTAGAATTTTTTTTTTTTTGAGTTGGAGTCTCACTCTGTCAGACTGGAATGCAGTGGCTGCTCCCGGCCACCGCAGCCTCGACCTGCTGGGCTCCGGCGATCCTTCCGCCTCAGTCTTCCAAGTAGCTGGAACTACAGGCGCGCTCTACCATGCCCAGCTCATTTTGATTTATTGTAGCGATGAAGTCTCGCCAAGTTGGCCAGGCGGGTCTTAAACCTGCGGGCTCAGGCAATCCACTCACCTCAGCCTCCCAAATGTGCGGGATTACAGGCTGAGCCACCGAGCCCGGCTTTCACTTAGAATTTTTTTTTTTTTTTGAATTGGAGTCTCACTCTGTCGCCCAGACTGTAGTGCAGTGGCCGCTCCCGGCCACCGCAGCCTCGACCTGCTGGGCTCCGGCGATCCTTCCACCTCAGCCTTCCAAGTAGCCGGAATTACAGGCATGTGCTACCATGTCCGGCTGATCTTTTGATTTATTGTAGAGATGAGATCTCGCTGCCTAGGTGGGTCTTGAACCCGCAGGCTCAGGCAATCCACTCACCTCAGCCTCCTAAAGGCGTGGGATTACAGGCTGAGCCACCAAGCCCAGCTCACTTAGAATTTAATAGGAACCCACAGGTGGTGAAGAGCTGGTTGAGTGTTACTGAGAGAGCAACGTTTTGCTCTTAAGCACTTAGGAAGGACCTGACTGAGTGGATACTATGGTTTCTATCACAGAAATGGAATTGATCAGACCGATAGTCTAAATCACTTTCTATTTGTACTTCTTTCCCTTATATAAAAAAATGGGAGTTTTAGATTTTCCACAGGATTATTATGGATTTCAAGTACAGCATATTGTTGCTGTTTTTCTTGAGTACTGTATCTACTTCTGAGGCAGATAGAAAAGAAGAGATACGCATGCCAGTGTCAAAAGTAAAGTCAGGAGGCGGGCTCAGTGGCTCACGCCTATCTATAATCTGAGCACTTTGGGAGGCCGAGGTGAGAGGATTGCTTGAGCACAGGAGTTTGAGACCAGCCTAGGCAACATAGCGAAACCTCGCCTCTACAAAAAAATTTAAAAACTAGCCAGGCATGGTGGTGTGTGCCTGTGGTCCCAGCTCCTTGGGAGGCTGAGGCGGCAGGATCACCTAAGCTTAGGGGGTTGATCTGCAATGAGCCATGATCATGGATGGCACTGCACTCCATCCTGGGTAACAGAGACCCTGACTCCAAAAAACCTAAAATAAAATAGTCAGTTGTGATGAATTTTATTTGTCATTGTTTCGTTTCCAGTAAGAGGTTATAGTTTTAAAGTTTGTCATCATGGAAGATAATGGACAAAAAATTCCAGTGAACTCACCATTTCTATGTGTATTTACTTTTTCTATTCATTTATTTGGAAAACCTTAAAATGTTTGTTTTTAGACCAGTAGTTGTTTCTGACTAGTGTTTGTGACATAATTACATAGCACTTTATGACTTTCATACATGCTATTATATCATTAATCTCTAGTAGACGTATATTGTACCAAGGGATTATATTTCAGAACTAGTGTTTAGAAATGTAAATAAAGCTCATTCTAAAAATCATAACTTAGAAATTCAGCATTTTGTTTTTACAATAGAAGGAAAATTGATTTGTAAAATATCTTAGATGCTAAAAGTCTTTTAAAAATGTATATACAATTTTATTACAGTTTTAAAACATTGACTAGGCATTTAGTTATTTTAGGGCTTTTAGTGACTGGAGACTTATCAGCAATACAGAGCTTATCTCAGAATGATAAGCTGCATGCACGGATCTGAAGATTATACAGACTGTCTATTGGAAAGCCCCTGAAAATAAGTCTGTAGTGACACTAATTTTCAGATTTACCTACAAGGATCTAATGGAAATTATTAGCACATGGTGTTTTTAATATTTCAGAACTTAGTGCATATCTGTGATGCAATTAATGGTGGTATAAATATTTAATTTTTCAGTAATCCTGATTAATTTGGGGAATGGTAGAAGTAGTGTACATTAATGATACCTATTGTTATATAATATATATATTTTAAACCATTTATCTTTTTTTTTTGAGTCAGAGATCTCATTCTACTGGAGTGCAGTGGCATGATCATGACTAACTGCAACTGCAACCTTCTGGGCTCAGGTGATCCTCCTTCCTAAGCCTCCTAAGTAACTAGGACTAGAGGTGTGCACCACCATGCTTGGCTAATTTTTTGATTTTTTTTTTGTGTGTGTGTGTGTGTGGACATATTTTCTTGCCTTGGACTCCCAAAGTACTGGGATTACAGGCATGAACCACTGTGT